CTGCAGCCGCACGCAGCTCAGGCCCGGCTGGTGGCGCCGTTGACCCGGACGCCGGCGGTTCCCGAGCCGTTGCACCGAGGCCGCGGGCGTTCGGGCGGGCGGGGGACGAGAGTGGGAAAGGGGAGGAGGACCATGGGTATCTGGGTTGTGGAAGCCCCTTACCCGTGCCACCCAGGCCGCGTTTCTTCGAGGCTTGGCTACTCCTGATTGAGGGCCTCCTTGATGCCAGGCCCCCCGCGCCCCGCACTTCACGTACGATAATTCCCTTACGTCTCCTGAAGACCAAGTTGGGTCAGAAGATGCATGAGGAAACGGAGGCTGGAGGGTCACCCACGTCTCCCACCCTACCGCTGTGCCCCCCAAGCTTGGCTGCTCCCACTGACGGGCACTCTCCTGACAAGGTCTCCTGCTCTGTCCGCCCCCTTATGCCCCAACCTCCTTCTTCTGAAGCTCAGTCCCTGCCACTCTCTCATCGCGCCTTGCATTCCTGCCTGACCCAGTTGCAGTTTTACACTTACTTGATTACTGTATTATGTCTAACATATTACTTGCTTTACCTATTCCTTTTGTAACTTGTCTAACCCCCATAAGGACAGGGATTTTTCTCTCATTAACTGCTGTATATCATCAGTGCCTAAAACAATGTGACAGATACGTCAAGTGCCTAATAAATTTGTGCTGGATAATTGAATGATTGCCCTACTGTTAACTGTAAGCTCCATGTAGGCAGCAACTGTGTCTGTTTTTTAATCACCTTTTCATCAGAAGTGTTTGGCACCCATAAGCATTCAATTCACATTTGTTGAATGAGTGAGTGAAGGTACTTCTCACTTCATCACCCCAATTTGTTCGATAAATATATAAATTTCTGTACAAAGAAAGCAAAAAAGGCTCACAAACACATGGAGGCTTAACAACACGCTTCTAAATAGTCAATGGATAAACGACCAAATTAAAATGGATCCAGCAATATATGGAAATAAATGACAACAACAACACAAAGCCCCAACTTCTGTGGGACACAGCGAAAGCAGTATTAAGAGGAAAGTATATAGCAATCAAGGCATATTTAAAGAAGGAAGAACAAACCCAAATAAATAGTCTAACATCACAATTATCAAAATTGGAAAAAGAACAACAAATAAGGCCTAAAGTCAGCAGAAGGAGGGATATAGTAAAGATCAGAGAAGAAATAAATAAAATTGAGAAGAATAAAACAATAGAAAAAAATCAATGAAACCAAGAGCTGGTTCTTTGAGAAAATAAACAAAATGGATAAGCCTCTAGCCAGACTTATTAAGAGAAAAAGAGAATCAACACACATCAACAGAATCAGACACGAGAAAGGAAACGTTACGACGGACCCAACAGAAATACAAAGAATTATTAGAGATTACTATGAAAACCTATATGCTAAGAAGCTGGAAAATCTAGAAGAAATGGACAACTTCCTAGAAAAATACAACCTTCCAAGACTGACCAAGGAAGAAACACAAAATCTAAACAAACCAATTACCAGCTAAGAAATTGAAGCAGTAATCAAAAAACTACCCAAGAACAAAACCCCCAGGCTACATGGATTTACCACAGAATTTTATCAGACATACAGAGAAGACATAATACCCATTCTCCTTAAAGTTTTCCAAAAAATAGAAGAAGAGGGAATACTCCCAAACTCATTTTATGAAGCCAACATTACCCTAATACCAAAACCAGGCAAAGACCCCACCAAAAAAGAAAATTACAGACCAAAAACCCTGATGAACGTAGATGCAAAAACACTCAACAAAATATTAGCAAACCGAATTTAAAACTACATCAAGTGGATCGTACACCATGAACAAATGGAATTCATCCCAGGGATGCAAGGATGTTACAACATTCGAAAATCCATCAACATCATCCACCACATAAACAAAAAGAAAGACAAAAACCACATGATCATCTCCATAGATGCTGAAAAAGCATTCAACAAAATTCAACATCCATTCATGATAAAAACTCTCAGCAAAATGGGTTTAGAGGGCAAGTACCTCAACATAATAAAGGCCATATATGATAAACCCACAGC